GGGCTAAGATTATCAACACATTTTATGTTTCACATGTGACATGTACTGTCTTTCGGATGTCTTATGACAGTTATGCCTTTTTTTATAATTAGAAAAATATTAGGGTTAATTATCTGTGTTTGTATAATGCAGAGTGTCACAAAGTGAATGTATGTTTATATCCTTTCCCTTTAACTCAGAAAAGGCTGTAGCTCTTCATTCTTCCAGCCTGAGTCCATGGATAACTGATGTCCACAAACCTTTATAAAATCCTCTATGGAGAAATATATCTACATCTAAATCCTCTGTAGCTATGGAGTTTGATGAAATCACCATACCACTGTCATTTATTTTGCCTTTTCTTTTTTTTGAGTTGGAGTCTCACTCTGTCACCCAGACTGAAGTGCAGTGGCCACTCCCAGCCACCGCAGCCTCGACCTGCTGAGCTCCGGCGATCCTTCCGCCTCAGCATTCCAAGTAGCTGGAATTACAGGCATGTGCTACCATGCCCGGCTGATTTTTTTTTTAATTTATTGTAGAGATGAGGTTTTGCCAAGTTGCCCAGATGGGTCTCGAACCCGCAGGCTCAGGCAATCCACTCCCCTCAGCCTCCCAAGGCACAAAATTACAGGCTAAGCCACCAAGCCCGGCTATTTTGCCTTTTCTTTATGTAAGGTCTAACACAAGGTGTATTAAATACTTATTGATCATATTTATTCTTCACCTGGCTCACATCATTTGCCTAATTTTAAACTCTCTTCTGTTTTTAAAAATAAATCAAACACACATGTGCATAGCATAAAAGAAAAAGCAGATAGTTTCTAAAAGATATAAATGTAGATGTAAACAAGTAAAAAATCATATTCTTAGGTTAAAAACTGATATTATTAATATCAATTTTTCTTAAGATAAGTTATAAGTTTAATTTTGTTCCAGTGCAGATGCCAGTAGGTACTGGAACTAGGCATTTTATTGCAATATATTTGAAAATGCCCATGAAAATAGCCAATAAAAGTCTGAAAAAGAAAAAATAAGTTAATTTTGTGAGATGATGATGATAAAAAGACTGATAGATCATTGAGGCTAAAAACTCAGAAATAGACCACAGTGCATAAGAAGGTGTCTCAGTCATTCGGGCTGCTTCAACAAAGTATCTTAAACTGAGTCCTGTGTAAGCAACAAAACTCCTTGCTCACACTTCTGCAAGTCAGTCTGGTCCCTTAACCTCGCGAAGTCACACCAATGTGTGATTCTTTTGTGTTTTGGCTTCTGCGTCTCCTTCGGTGTGACATTCTTCCCTCCATCCACCCCTGCCCCCATGACCACCATAGAAGACGCAGTCACTCATAACATTCCTCGGATCTAAATAATCACAGTCAACTTGTAGGGGATAAATTTTGCAATCTTTCTTCAAAATGTTCTAATAATTTGTTCCAAACATGTCAAGGTTATTTTCTTTTTACCCATGAACTCCACCTCTGGAAATCAGTCCTGTGGGAAAACTTCAGAAGTAGAATCAGAGTGATACACTCTGTTCCTTGCAGTACAGGCTTCCCCCGCTAAATTAGTGTTCTGTGAACTCATTGGCATCAGTGTACCAGCTAGAGGCCTCATTCAGCTTCACTGATTTTTAAAAAATATTCTTTTAGCATGTGTGTCCATTTTGTGATGGGTGATGTACATGAACAACATGCAGCAGTGAAGTCTGGTTTGCTGTTGTGTTCGGTAGTTTTTGCCCCAAAATGATGTGACCCTCACACCTCGCCCTCCCTCCTCGCCTGATCTTGCCCCAAGTGACTTTTGTTGTTGTCCCTGAATGAAAAATGTTGTCAGCCGGGCTCGGTGGCTCAGCCTGTAATCCTGCGCCTTCGGGAGGCTGAGATGAGTGGATTGCCTGAGACCGCGGGTTTGAGACCTGCCTGGGCAACTTGGCGAGACCTCATCTCTACAATAAGTCAAAAAAATGAGCCAGGCATGGTAGCCCGCGCCTGTAGTTCCAGCTACTTGGAAAACTGAGGCGGAAGGATCGCCGGAGCCGAGCAGGTCGAGGCTGCGGTGGCCAGGAGCAGCCACTGCACTTCAGTCTGGGTGACAGTGAGACTCCAACTCAAAAAAAAAAAAAAAAAAAAAAAAAAAGGAAAAATGTTGTCATAGGGAAATACTTTGCCATTGTGGAAGAGGTGAAACCAAAAGTGGCAGAAACACTGAAAGGCATCAAAATTGATGAGTTCAAAAATTGTTTTGAGAAAGCATCTTGATAGGGGTAGTGCATCAGAGTACTTTGAAGCTGCCTGAAATGTAAACATGTAAGAATATATACATAATTTTTAATAAATTCTGGATTTGTGGTGCCTCCTCATATATACCTCAAAATTTAAGAGTAAACAAATAAACTATGCCCTTCAGTCAAAGTCAAAAACATTTGAGCACTTTGTATGACTCTGTTCTAGCAAAAGAACAGACATGGAGTCCAGGTAGTGGAAGTACTATTTGCAAAGTTATTTCAATTATGTAATCAATGTTCATGCATGTAAATAATATGAGTATTAAATTGCATATGCAGTATTTTGACCATGGAAAAAATTTAATACATTAAACACCTACTAAGCTTCTAATGTTTGAGTGACACCTACCACCCCAATAGAGAACACTGATTTATTTTGTTTCATGGTGACCCTGCAATCTAGACTTTTGAGTGTCAAGAGGGAGGGCGACTGTTGAGTTAGACCAGCCTTCATGAAATGTGGCCCTCAGCCCTGCAGGTCCGGAAGCTGGTAATTATCAGGAAACCCCAAATTACTAGGGCTCATAGGTAACTCATAGTAAATGGCTTATGCTTTCCAGTGAAATAGCTCATGTGCAAATGTCTATGAGTAAAGATACCAGAGCGCTCAGATTAGGGGAGAGATCACTGCCTGTGATCGCTGCCTGTTGATCCTAGAGTTAGAGCCAAGGCAGGGGAGTCTACAAAGACCACCCCTTCCCCAAGAAGAATATCAATCACTAGTGATTCCTGCCAAGCTCCACTGCTCTTACAAAACTCAAATTCATTACAAAACCCAAATTCAAGTTAAACTTAATATAAATTTTCAAACTACAGTCACAGAGCATTAAGCCCCAAGCACAGGGATCTTTTTCTGAAGAGAGGACCAAGTGCAACTGTCCTGATCACACACCCTTGAAGCTTTTCTAGACCTCAATTTCAATAGGTTCTTGAGGCTAATTTACAGCCCACTTCCAATATATGAGTCCCTGCATGCACAGATACCAAATATTTGAAAAAGGACAACTAAAGTTTTTCTAGTGGGAGAAATGACATATTAATTTGAATTTTTCTGGTTTGTTTTAGATAAACTTCCCTTTATAAAATCACAGGATATTTTGGCTTTTTGCATTTTCAACTTTGGAGGAAATAATTTCTTTTCTATGTTTATTTACTGGAATACTGTATTTTTGTGGCAAAATTACATGCTGTTACATGTTTGCATAACAATAAAAACCCAAAATCTACTTTCCTGTATTAAAGAATTAAGACTTGCAACAAAATCTTACATAAATTAAAAGGATAAATAGATTTACAGATATAAATGCAAACTACTTCCAATTCAAGGCAAGTAACCACCCATGGTGTTCTGGTAATAAAACAGTTAAGAACAGAAGCTGGGTCCCGAGACTGGGATTTCTCCTGTTAGAGGCAAGACAAATGACAACTTGTTCAGAAGTTCTTGTCAGCCTCCAGAGAAGTCCTGGAATATTCAGTTCTCACCCATTAATACCCTGCCACAGATCAAGACTCTTGGTCATGCAGTTTCACCTCAGTCACAAAGTGACCAAGTCACATGCATTAAGGGTTTAAACCATAGGTACGTACAGGGTGTTAAACAGACATCCAGGGAACAGCTAACTTGAGCACAAGGTCAAAAATCAGCAATAAGTTCTACCACCTAGTGCTGATAAGACCAATTATTTTATTTTATTTTATTATAGGAATGTGGGGTAATAAACTGAATACTCTTTGTGTTGTCACGTTCCCACCACCTCCCTAGGCACTCCCCAGTGACTTCCAGTTTTGTGAGGCCAGCATGAGGTGTATACAACTGCCAGGACAGATTTTTACTTCTGAATTAACTCAGGTCGTAAGCGCTACACATCTGTTAGCAGGCTATTTAGAAGCATTTGCGATGAGTGAAGGAGCCAGACTTCATATTCACGCTTAATGATGCATATCTCTGCAAGGTGAACTGGAGGGCCAGGACGGAGCCACCAATCCACTGAGTACTTGAGCTCAGGGGAAGCAATGGTCTTCATCTTCATGGTGGTGGGTGCCAGGGCGGTGATCTCCTCTTGCAGCCTGCCAGCAGCAGCAAATAAGTATTTCTTCTACAGAAATACTTCAGGCTGGGCTCGGTGGCTCAGCCTGTAATCCCATGGTTTGGGAGGCTGAGGTGAGTGAATTGCCTGAGCCCACGGGTTTGAGACCCGCCTGGGCAACTTGGCGAGACCTCATCTCTATAATAAATCAAAAAATTAGCTGGGTGTGGTAGCACGCGCCTGTAGTTCCAGCTACTTGGAAGGCTGAGGCAGAAGGATCACCGGAGCCCAGCAGGTCGAGCCTGCGGTGGCCGGGATCGTGCCACTGCACTCCAGTCTGGGTGAGAGTGAGACTCCAACTCAAAAAAAAAAAAAAATACTTCAATTTGATATTTGTTATTGTCTTTCTATAGTTCTCACACATTTTCTTGGCAGACTGCCATTCTAACCTGTTAAAATACAAAACGTTTTGGCATTTATTCCAGATTTGTGGATATTGAAAAAAAGACTGACTGATTAAAACTTTCCAAATCCCAGGATATGAGCCCATTTTTCTAAATGTATTTTAAATGTTTTATTTCAACCTAGGAGCCTGTTTTATTATTTTCTTTATATTTTCAGATTTATTGCTGCAATAATTGACAAAAATTATATCCATTCAAGGTGAAACGCGATGTTTTGCTATTTCTTCATGTTTTGATGAACAGTGGGGAACATCCTGAGAGAGGCGTCTACAGACGATCTGGGCTTCGTGTGAACATCAGAGAGTGAACTTACCCAGGCCTCGATGACACAACCTGACTTCTGCCTTAGGTTGCATGGTGTCGTCCGTTGCTCCTAGACTGCAAGAAAGTACAGCACGTAAGTCCACTAGGTATTGCAGGCAACAGTAGCATAATGGTACACGTTTCTGCACCTACAGATACCTAAATGTAGAAGAGGCACAGTAAAAATGTGGTATAAAAGACAGCAGTGGTACATTTGTCAAGGGCACATACCAAGAATGGAGCTTGCAAGACTGGAAGTCTCGGGGTGAAACAGTTTTTAACGTGAAGAGCTAGGACAACTTGTACACCACTGTAGACTTCATAAACACTGTATACTTGGGCTACACTATATTTATTAAATATATATATATTTTAATTGCAAATTAAACTTAGTTTACTGTAATTTTTTTATTGTAAAACTTTCTATTTTAAATATATTGGCACTGATAATATTTAACATATAACACACACGGCTTGTGTAAAATGTTTATATCCTCATTTATAAGATTTTTCTTACTAATTTTTAATTTTCTTGTTAAAACCTCAGTCACCGCCGGGCTCGGTGGCTCAGCCTGTAATCCCGCGCCTTTGGGAGGCCGAGGTGAGTGGATTGCCTGAGCCCGCAGGTTCGAGACCCGCCTGGGCAACTTGGCGAGACCTCATCTCTACAATAAATCAAAAAAATTAGCGGGGCATGGTAGCATGCGCTTGTAGTTCCAGCTACTTGGAAGGCTGAGGTGGAAGGATTGCCGGAGCCCAGCAGGTCGAGGCTGTGGTGGCCGGGAGCGGCCACTGCACTCCAGTCTGGGCGGCAGAGTAAGACTCCAACTTAAAAAAAAAAAACCTAAGACACCAACACACACATTAGCCTAGGCCTGCACAGGTTCAGGATCATTAATATTACTGTCTTCCTTGTCTACATCTTGTCTCAGTGGCAATTTTTCAGGGGCTATAACACACATGAAGCTGTCATCTGGCTAATTTTGTGATTTTTTTTTTTCATAGAGATGTGGTTTTGCTGTGTTGCCTAGGCTGATTCAAACTTATAGACTCAAGCAATCCTCCCACCTTGGGCTCCCAGATTGCTGGGATTACAGATGTAAGCCACCACACCTGGCCCAATAAGATAATTTTTAACACACAATTATTCTTGAATGCATTCTTTAACTCTGAGGAAACAGGATAGCATAAGTTTCACAAAAGCAATGTAGAGTCTATATTTTGTGAATGATACAGTGTAAAAAAATTGATTGCACCAACACAGGCTTGCACATTTTTTAGGATTATATCTGCATCATTCAGGATAATGTATGTATATTCTTCATATGAATAAGTCATGGATATTTAGAAGCATACTTCTAAAATTTTATTGTGTCCAACAGTAAACAGGAGGTCTTATTAAAACAGTGTCTGGATGGGCTTGGTGGCTCAGCTGTAATCCCGGCATATTAGGAGGCCAATGTGAATGGAGTGCCTGAGCCCACGGGTTCAAGACCAGTCCGGCAACTTGGCACGACCTTGTCTCTACAATAAATCAAAAATTAGCGTGCATCTGTGGTTCCAGCTACTTGGAAGGCTGAGGTAGAGGGATTGCTGGAGTCCAGCAGGTCGATGGTAGAGTGGCCATGTGTGTGCCACTGCCATCAGCCTAGGCAACAGAGTGAGACTCTAATTCGAAAATAAAAAATAAATGAATCACAGGTTCTGATTCAGAAGATCTTAATTGAAGTCTGAAATTTCAAATTTCTAACAAGTGTGCCAGTGATGCCAGTGCTTCAGGCCCTAGGAGAATATTTAGTCAAACATCCAGTAAGTTTTACAACCTGGATTTGATTTCCCTTTTTATGAGCAGTAAACAAAGATAATAGCCTTTATATTCCAAAACAGGCTATGTGCTAAGAAAATCTAAGAAGAAAGAGGTGCTTCCAGATTAAATGTGAGGGTTTATGCACATCAATCGATAAATCTTCCCAAAGTACTTAATATAAAAGATAAAAATAACTGCAGAGAGAAAGTCTGTCGGACGTCACGTTAACCAGTTGAATTAAATCAGCCATCAGCTGTAGCAGGACAAATTAGTATCAGGTGCCAGTGCACACAGAAAGACACATCACTGTTACATTATTGGCTAGAAAGTAAATTATAAGGTAAAGATAACCATGAAAAATACTGGTTTTATGCGAAACTCAATCTAAAGTTACCCTCCGCTGTGCATTTACATCATCTTTCTTTAGCATCCAAGAGTGCAAGTTTCTTTTAATTATACTTTATTCAGATCTTTTTGAGCTATTCTGAACTAGCTGAGTCATTCTGAGCAATCAGTGCAATCCTGTTTGAATACACATTTCATTAATCCTGTTCCGTGTAGGGCTGATGGAGCTAGCACATGGGACCTAAACACTGTATGTGCCCCATCTTCACTGAGACCCAAGGACCCAATCCCATCTCCAATAAGAATATTGGGTGCCCACACCAACCCACATTTAACAGCCTCAAAGGGAACATTTTTAATATTGATGGTCATACATTCATAGTGAAAAGTGTTCTCAGCATTTAAGAAGCCTGGAGGGACAGAAGCCTCTGGCTTCTATGGAAAAATAATTCTTTTAGAGCCCTTGGTTATCATTAAAAAATAGAAGAAAGTACTTGAGATAAACTCATAAGGCAGTGCCATAGGCTGGAAAGATATGCCACGTTGGTTATATTAGAACAGTCATTTAGAAAACACTCAAAAACTTGTGTTCTTTGTAACTGAGTCAAGTGGAATATAGAAGCCATTTGAATTTAAAGATCACATTCTTTCTTTCCTCCTAACCAGCCCCCTCCTGCCCCAGCCCTTAATCTCTCCTTTCCTCTCCTACCACAGCCTTGCCTGGCTGGAAGGCCAATCTTATCTAGTAAGCCATTGCTTGTGCTGAAGAAGAACCAGCCGGCAAGCCAGATCACCTAATAAGGCCTCAGAAGGGTATCTGAAAGCCTGATGTGGACATTAGCCATCTCCCCTCAGTGAATACAAGGATATCAGACTCTTACAGGCCACAGCTCTGGGAATAGGAGATTGTTACAATTGTTTTAAAATGATTTAAAGCTATCATTTAAAATGTGACTTTTACTTCCTTTCAGATGTTTAAATTGACTTCCCCTTCCTGTAAAAAACATGTTGTAAATTACAGAATGTTATCTAAAATGTCAGCATGACTAGGAGACTCTGAATCATGTAAGTGGCCATGTATAAGAAATTGTTCGTGTAAATCTTGATTATGCGAAAACTGCACATACGTAGGCTTCAAACTCAGGATGGGTGAAGGACTATGCATTTAAAATGTAAATACTGGAATAAATTTGTGTTACTTTGAGTGGGTTTTTTGTAAGGATGGTGACCCATCTCCCTGTAACCTGGTTGTAAAATTAAACACTCCTTTTTCTCCCAGTCTCTGCCTCTCATCTTCGATTGGTCATGAGAGATATAAGCCAATTGTTGCTTGAACCATTTCAGCAGGGACATCACAAATACAAAAGTAAAGGTTAGCAAGTTCTACATACATGACATTCTAAAAGGAAAAGTGGACACAGCCCCTGACCTGAGACACACTTCCCTGAAAACCAGTCTTGTTTTCTCTGGCTCCTGCTTCTCTGGGATTTTCCTTTTAAGGTGAGATTTTCTGAATAATTCACCGCTGCGTCTTGAGAACATGTCGTTAAAAGTTTCACAGAACTCAGTTCTGGGAAGATGGCAGCAGAGTCAGTGGGATTGTGTAAGTCTCTGCTGTGTGAATGAGGAATGCAAGGATGACTGTGCATGTGCGCGCGTGCGCACATGTGTGTGTGTGTGTGTGTGTGTGTGTGTGTGTGTGTGTAAGTGGGTGTGCGAGTGTGTGAGTGGGGACTTGGGGGGAAACAGCCTAGGATCTCCTGGTGAAGTGGCCACCACCGTTGCTGCTCTGATCCCAGTGCTTCCTGCAGCACAGAAGCAATTGCCATTTTCTGAAACTAATAAAGTCCCCTCAGGAGGAAGCTGCAGGGAGCAGCCGCCACGTGGTGCCTGGCCTCACCACCACCACCCTCAACACCCCATCACCAAGTCCCAGGATCCAGAAACGTGGTATCTGACAGGGAGGGAGCTGTTGCCTCCCTGGTCCCCTGCACTGCTGAAACACAAACTCACAAGACACTGAGCAACTCACAGCAAATCAAGAAACGGAGCGCTGGGAACAGAGAGGTGCGCTGGCAGCAGAGCCCATGACAGGAGTGCAGCAAAGGAACCAGAGTAAGAGACCAATGGAGGAGTTGGTGCAGGGACTCTGCTATCATCCTGAAACCTGGTGCTCCAGGGTGACCACCACTGAGCAGCAGACCGTCTTCTTGAGAGTAGGGGGTGAACTCCACCTCTTTCTGGGTTGATCATCATGAACTCAGGGTGGGGAATCCCAAGTGCCCAATCCCCAGCAGGAGGCAGTGGGTGTGGAGCTCCAGATGCCCCATCCCCCACCCTGGCCTAGCTCAATGGTACAATCAGAAGAGGGAGATCCAGTTGGAGAAAGGTAATGGTGAGTGTTGAACTGATCCCCTCACTTCCCCCCAGCAGTGTGTGAAACATCACATCCACACAGGAGGCGGCCTAACCAGGGCACAACTGAGGGATCTGAGTCCTAGTAGAGCCAGGAATAGCTCCTGTGCTGAGAGAGCATTCCTGTGGGGTGAACCTAGCCGGTGCACCTGCTGCCAGCACACCTGCTGCCAGCACCTGGGGAAGAGACAATCCAGCACTTCTTTCACAGAACAGGATGGAGAGCGGGACTCCAGTGACTGCAGGAAGCACTCCTGGCCTGTTTGGGGGGGGAGGTGAGGCCCCCCAAAGCCAGAGAAGATCCCTTGACCACACAGAGAGGAGGAATGGGCACCCCTTGCCCAACTGTAAGCCAGGTCCTGCAGGTTGGGAGCATGCTGGGTCTTCCTGACCTCCCTGTGCCAGCCATCAATCACACACAGCGGGAGACTCTACCTCCAAAAGTGTAGAAGTGGAGAAAAACTTGAAGTTCCCTCCATAAGAGGGAGCTCAATGCTCAGGAGTGTGTGTGTGTGTGTGTTTTTTGCGTGCGTTTTTCTCCCCTCTTCTTTTTCCTTCTCCTTTTCCCTGTTCTTTTATCTTATCTTGGACTCAGGAGGTACACATATATATCCATTGCATGCACATATTGTGTGGTGGTGGGGAGTGGGTCTCAGGGGGCCCATACCCCAGTCAGTGAACATTTTGATCTGCAGGTAGTTTCTGAATCCTAGCTCAGCCCCCTTCCACCTTATTCAACTCTCAAAACTGCAAAGAAACAGCACAGCTCCCCACTCCAGCCCTGTTTTAAAACTGAATAAATTTGGAGGCTCTGCTCAGCGAAGGATAGGGGGTTGAGCAAACAACAGAAGTGAAAGCTTCTTCCTCTCTCACTGAGTAACAGAATCAAAGAAAAGAGATCTGTTATCAATGAGGAAGAGTCAATGGAAGAACACAGGTAATTCACAGAGTCCAAAAGAAACAGTGCTGGAAAAAGCAAACCTGGATCTGGAATGACTGGTCTCAGAACACAACTACAGATATCAGGGGGTGGATGGAAAGAATGAATACAAATCAAGAAAAACAATAACCAAATGGATTGAAATTGTAACAGGTTTTGGCTATAAAAAACTCCATCAACCAATCAATGACAAGCATGCACAGCAGAATTAACCAACGTGAGAAAAGAATCTCGGAGCTTGAAGGCCAGAATATGGAATTAACCGAATCTGTAAAGGAAAAAAACTCAAAGAGCAAATCTTCTGAGAGACGTGTGATTAGATGAAGAGGCAAAACTTACACTTGATTGGTATCCCTGAAGCAGAAAGAGAAATGGAGAACACCTTGGAGCAACCATCAATGAGGTTATCCAAGAAAACTTTCCCCATTTTACCCAAGACATGACCATTCAAGCACAAGAAATTCAGAGAACCCCCACAAGGCATCAGATGAGAATACCAACCTCTAGACACACAGTAATTTGCCTACACAAAGTAAGTATAAAAGAAAAAATCCTAAAAGCAGCAAGAGAGAAAGATCAGACTACCTACTGGGGAAGACCAATCAGAATATTGCCAGACTTATTGTCAGAAACACTATAAGTAGAAAGGATTGGAGTCCAATTTTTAATGTTCTCAAAGATAAGCGGTTCCAACCAGGAATTTTCTAGCCAACTAAGCTAAACTTCATTAGTGATGGAGAATTAAAATGCTTTCCAGACATCCAATCCCTAAGAGAATATGCTGCTTCCAGACTCCAGACTAGCTCTACAGGAGACAGTTAAGAAGGTATTGAACATAAAAGGAAAAACAAACAAACAATGCACTACGAGAGTACAAGCAAGCTCAGAGCCAACAGTACACATACAAAAATGAAAAAAAACACACATATATTAATGCAAAAGTTGAAAACAAAATAGCATCCGAAGAGTCTTATGACAGGAATAAGCTTTCACATTTCAATAATCAACCTGAATGTGAATGAACTAAATGTACCATTGAAAAGACATAGATTGGCAAACTGGATTTTAAAAAAAAAACACACACAATCCAACAATCTGCTGCCTCCGTCTCACTACAAAGGACACCAACAACTCAAAATTGGAGACTGGAGAGTGAATTTTCAGATGAATGGAAAACAGAAGAAGCCAGTGTAGCTATTCTAATATTAGCTAAGACAGCCTTCAAGCTATCAAAAATTAAAAAGAACACAGAAGGACACTACATAATGGTAAAAGATTCAATCCATCAGCAAGAAAAATCTATCCTATACATATATGCACCCAACACAGGAACCCCAGGTTTTATAAATCAGCTACTAAGTAAACTAAAAGAGGACATTGACTCACACACAATCATAACTGGAGACTTAAATATTCCACTAACAACCCTAGATAGAGCATCAAGGCAAAAAAAATAAATAAATAAGAAAAGCTATAGAACTTCAACTCGACACTCGACCAAATAGACTTAGTAGACATCCACAGAACACTTCACCCAACAACTACAGAATAATGTACATTCTACTCTTCAGCCCATGGAACATACTCCAAGATTGACCACATTCTTGGACATAAATCAAACATAAACAAATTCCAAAAAAATTAAAATAATACCATGCATCATCTCAGATCAAAGTGGAGTAAAAATAAATATTACCACTTTCAAGATCCCCACAAAACACACAAAGATATGGACACTAAACAATATACTGCTGAATGACTCCTGGGTCAACATGGAAATCAAGACAGAAATTAAAAGATTCTTGGAAATAAATGAAAGCAAAGACACATGTTATCAGAATCTCTGGGATGCCATGAAAGCAGTATTAAGGAAATTTTATGACTCTGCACACACATCAAGAAAACTAAAAAATAACATGTAAACAGCCTAATGGTACACCTGAGCTAGAAAGGCAAGACCACCAAAATCCTCATTTCAGCAGAAGGATCCAGATCATCAAAATAAAGTCACAATTGCAGGACATATAAGACAAAAATATCAGAAAAAAAATCAACAAGACAAAAAAACTGATTATTTGAGAGGATAAATAAGATCAAGAGACCCGTAAGCAGATGGAGAAAAAGAGGGGGAAAACTCAAATAAATACAATTAGAAACACAAAAGATGAAGTCAAAAGAAACTGACCCAAAAGAAACTCAAGAGATTATAAGAGATTACTATGTACACCTGTATGGAAATAAAATTGAAAACATAAAGGAAATGGAGGACTTTCTGACATCACACAACCTTCTAAGGTTGACACACGAAAAAATTAAAATCCTAAACATACCAATAACAATCCAGGAAATAGATTTCTTCATAATGAATCCACCTATTAAAAAAAAAAAAAAAAAAAGCCCTGGATCAGATGGCTTTCCAGATGAATTCTGTAAAACATACAAGGACAAGCTGATACCAATCTTATCAAAAATATTCTGAGAAATCGAGAAAGATGGAACTCTCCCCAAATCATTTTATGAAGCTAACATCACACTGATATCCAAACTTGGCAAAGACTCAACAAGGAAAGAGAATTACAGGCCAATCTCTTTGACGAATATGGTTGCAAAAACTCTCAATAAGACCCTAGCAAATCGGATCCAACTACACATCTCAAGAATGATCCACCACGACCAAGTATGCTCTATTCCTGGGATGCAGGACTGGTTCAACATCTGCAAGACCATAAACATAATTCAATATGCTAACAGATGTAAAAACAAGAACTGCATGATTATATCATTAGCTGTGGCAAAAGCTTTTGACAAATCCAGCCTCTCTTCTTGATGGAAAGCCCTTGAACACCTAGGCATAGAAGGAACCTTCCTCAAAACAGTAAGAGCCATTGATGATAAACCTACAGCCAACATAATGCTTAATGGA